GAAGCCCCCACATAGAGGGTGTTGCAGTGTTGTTGTTGTTGTTGTTGTTTAGTGGTGTCCGCCTCTTCGCGACCCCCTGGACCAGAGCACGCCAGGCACTCCTGTCTTCCACTGCCTCCCGCAGTTTGGTCAAACTCATGCTGGTAGCTTCAAGAACACTGTCCCACCATCTCGTCCTCTGTCATCCCCTTCTCCTGGTGCCCTCCATCTTTCCCAACATCAGGGTCTTTTCCAGGGAGTCTTCTCTTCTCATGAGCTGGCCAAAGTATTGGAGCCTCAGCTTCAGGATCTGTCCTTCCAGTGAGCACTCAGGGCTGATTTCCTTCAGAATGGAGAGGTTTTGCAGTAGTCCAAGTTAAAAGAAAGTCCTTCTTCACTCCCTCAGGAGGCAGTGATGACTACCAACTTGGATGGCTTTAACAGAGGATTGGACAAATCCATGGCCATTGATAGCAAGTGATGGCTACCAGCCACGATGACTGTGTTCTGCTTCCACTGCTGGAGCCTTCAGTGCTTCCAAACGCCAGTTTCTGGAGACCATAGGAGAGGGGAGAACTCTTGTGTGGAAATCCTGCTTGCAGGTTCCCCACAATAAGCACCTTGGAGGTACATCCCATTTGGTTTCACTGCAAAACTTCTGGGGCTGGTGGGAATTGTCTTCCAAAATATTTTGAGGTCCCCCTGGTTGGAGAAGGCCACTGCAGAGTGTCCCTTCTTCGCACACCCTACAGCTCTGGATTTGCAAGGCAAGTCTAGCTTAGAGCAAGCGAGGGAACATTTCAGATTCTGGAGAGAATCCTGTTCCTTTGGCACGCAATGTGTTATACACAGAGCCTGTTTCACCGCTTGCAGTGACAATGACTCAGTGTGGAGCCAGGGACTTGGCCAGACACCAGGGGATTCTCTCAGACCCACTGCCTGCATTGGGTTCAGGTTCTGTGCCAGCTCTGCTGTCACCCTGGCCAATATTGAGGTCGCTTGCCACAAGCTTCCTGTGAACAGCTGCAGGTTGGACCAGGGAGTTAAGTGGGGCTGGTGGGTCTTTGTTTTCTAGCCCCTGTATGATCTATTCCAGGCATGTCCAACTCCCAAGAGATTGCGATCTACTCACAGTACAGTGGTACCTCTGGATGTGAACGGGATCCGTTCCGGAGCCCCGTTCGCATCCTAAAGTGAACACAACCTGCATCTGCGCATGTGCGGGTCACAATTCGCTGCTTCCACACATGCACATTTTGTGTGTCTGCGCATGTGCGAGCGGCGAAACCTGGAAGTAATGCATTCTGTTACTTCTGGGTCACCACGGAGCGTAACCTGAAAACGCTCAGCCTGAAGCATATTTAACCCAAGGTATGACTGTATGCCTGGCGTGCTCCGGTCCATGGGGTCACGAAGAGTCGGACATGACTAAACGACTAAACAACAACAAGAACAATGACTGTATAAAAAGACTCATTGCCAGGAGTTGTTGAGCCATTCCATGATCTACCTGGGAAACCCCTGTTGGACATGCCTGATCTATGCTATAAACATAAGAGGAGCTTGCTAGATGAGGTCAATGGCCCATCTAGTTAGTTAGTCCAGCATCTTGTTCTCACAGTGGCCAACCAATGAGATGTCAGTGCGAAACCTGCAAGCCGGATTCAAGTACGAGAGCCTTCTCTCCTCCTGTGACTTCCAGCAGCTGGTAGTAGTAGTAGTAGTAGTAGTGGTAGTAGTAGTAGTTTAGTTGTTTAGTTGTGTCCGACTCTTCGTGACCCCCTGGACCAGAGCACGCCAGGCACTCCTGTCTTCCGCTGCCTCCCGCAGTTTGGTCAAACTCATGCTGGTAGCTTCGAGAACACTGTCCCACCATCTCGTCCTCTGTCCTCCCCTTCTCCTTGGGCCCTCCATCTTTCCCAGCATCAGGGTCTTTTCCAGGGAGTCTTCTCTTCTCAGGAGGTGGCCAAAGTCTTGGAGCCTCAGCTTCAGGATCTGTCCTTCCAGCGAGCACTCAGGGCTGATTTCCTTCAGAATGGAGAGGTTTGATCTTCTTGCAGTCCATGGGACTCTCAAGAGTCTCCTCCAGCACCTGAATTCAAAAGCATCAATTCTTTGGCGATCAGCCTTCTTTATGGTCCAGCTCTCACTTCCATACATCACTACTGGGAAGACCATGGCTTTTACTATACGGACCTTTGTTGGTAAGGTGATGTCTCTGCTTTTTAAGATGTTGTCTAGGTTTGCCATTGCCTTTGTCCCAAGGAGCAGGCGTCTTTTAATTTCATGGCTGCTGCCACCATCTGCAGTGATCATGGAGCCCAAGAAAGTAAAATCTCTCACTGCCTCCATTTCATAGAATCATAGAATCATAGAGTTGGAAGAGACCACAAGGGCCATCGAGTCCAACCCCCTGCCAAGCAGGAAACACCATCAGAGCACTCCTGACATATGGTTGTCAAGCCTCTGCTTAAAGACCTCCAAAGAAGGAGACTCCACCACACTCCTTGGCAGCAAATTCCACTGTCCAACAGCTCTTACTGTCAGGAAGTTCTTCCTAATGTTTAGGTGGAATCTTCTTTCTTGTAGTTTGGATCCATTGCTCTGTGTCCGCTTCTCTGGAGCAGCAGAAAACAACCTTTCTCCCTCCTCTATGTGACATCCTTTTATATATTTGAACATATACATTTATATATTTCTTCCCCTTCTATTTGCCAGGAGGTGATGGGACCAGTGGCCATGATCTTGGTTTGGAGTACATGTTTGCAAAGCTCTCTGTGTGTTATAAATGGTGTTGGAGATACAGTCAGGTGGAAACCAGGCTTGCTGTCACCGCCTCCCTGCTGCACCACCTGTGTCCCTCCCTGAATTTTCATTGCTTTAGTCAAGGTGAAATTAACTCAGTTAAAACCTTTCACTTCTTCAGTGCAAATATTTGACAATGCTTTGTGGAGCCCCCGCTCCCCATCACCTTTCTGTCTTTTTTATTGCTTGGATTTCTGCAAGCTGCTGAAACCCCCCCATTAACCCCCCCCCAAAAAAAATAGGATAGGCTTTGCAAATGATGACTCCCAGGCCTTCCCTAAAGCCAAAGGCTCAGTCCACATGCACAAGCCCCACCAAAAATGGATGCACAAAAAAAGAGAATGTCCCACCACCTTTACATTACCATAATAATAATTAATAATAATAATAATTTATTATTTATACCCCGCCCATCTGGCTGGGTTTCCCCAGCCACTCTGGGCGGCTTCCAACTGAATATTAAAAACAGTACAGCATCAAACATTAAAAACTTCCCTAAAGAGGACTGCCTTCAGATGACCATAGAAATATAGAGTTGAAAGGGACCCCCAAGAGTCATCTATATTTCTTTTAAATGCTTTTTATTGGTTTCTCATTTAATACCAACAAAGTACAATAATATTCAACAGTCATTTACCCACATTCTTTCCCCACACTCTGCCGTGCACTGACTTCCTTCCCTCCCTCCAGCAGGTTTTCTTGCTTCAGTCACCTTTCCACAGTTTCTTATTATATCCAGTCAGTCTACGTCGTAAGATTTATTTCAGTCCTGCCAGAGTCTTCAAATTTCTACAGTTATATAATCCATAAATTTACTCCATTCTCTTTGGAATTTTGCTTCCTCCTGATTTCGGATCCTGCAGGTCAGTTTTGCTAGTTCCGCATAATCCACCATCTTCGTCTACAACTCCTCTATTGTTGGTAAATCTGGTACTTTCCATTTGGGGACTAACAAAGTTCTGGCACCAGTCGTAGCAGACATAAATAACCTTTGATCTGCTTTTTCTGTTTTCTCTCCCATCAAATCTAGCAAGAAAGCTTCTGGCTTTTTCGGGAAAGTGTATTTGAATATCTTTTTCAATTCGTTATAAATCCGTTCCCAAAACTGTTTCATTTTCTCACATGTCCACCACATGTGGTAAAAATCTCCATCTTTATCTTTACATTTCCAACATGTCTTACTACTCATCCTATACATTCTCATCACCAATTTAACAGGTGCCAAATACCAGCGATACACCATTTTCATTGTATTCTCTCTTAAGGTAGTACATGCTGTAAATTTTATACTCTTATTCCACAGTTTTACCCAAGCATCATACTCAATGTTATACCCAAAACCCATTGCCCATTTTACCATCCCTTCCTTTGTCTGTTCATCTTTTGTATACCATTCTAATAAGAAATTGCACATTTTAGACAATAATTTGGTCCTGCCTTCTAGTAATTCGATTTGGAATTTAGACCATGTGGGGGGGGCAAGACTATATTTTTTGGGGGGGAAATTAACGAATTCCTATGCCCCAAAAATAACCCAGAGATGCATTTTAAATAAAAGGGCACATTCTACTCATGTAAAAACACACTGATTCCTGGACTGTCCGCAGGCCGGATTGAGAAGGCGATTGGGCCGGATCCGGCCCACGGGCCTTAGGTTGCCTACCCATGGTTGAGGAGCATCCTCCTCCTTTGGGCTGGTGCTTCCCCCACTTGGTGGGGGGCGGTGGGATTACTCAGGGGGTGCTAAGAGGCAAGGGGGCAGCAATGGGGAGCTGGAGGTATAAATGCCTATCAGACTTTGACATCCAGCATCGCTGGATCAAGTCCATCCATTTTGTGGCATTAATTAAGCTAAATAGTTTTAATTGGATTCTGGATAAATGTGCAGTTAGCTGTGGCTGTTTTGAATTTTATTGGCTTATAATCGTATAACCTTTTGAAGCAGAGGTTGGCTGGCCATCTGTCGGGGGTTCTTTCGCTGTGGCTTTCCAGGGGGTTGGGCTAGATGGCCCCTTGGGGTCCCTTCCAACACTACAGTTCTCTGGTTTTATGATTCCTTAATGAGTCAGGCCGGCCACTGCTCGGAATAATGTGGGGTTTTTTTAATCGGTTTGGGGTGGATTTATGGAACCAAGGGGGGGGTGGCCTAAATGTTTGGGAGCTGGACAAATGCCCGGGTTAACACGCCCCCTCTTTGTCTCCCTTCCTCCTCGCAGAACCCCAGCTGAAAGGAATCGTGACAAGGTTATTCAGCCAGCAGGAATTCTTCCTGCAGATGCACCCAGATGGGACGATTGATGGGACGAAGGACGAGAACAGCGACTACAGTGAGTCTCTCTCTCTCTCTTTTCCTTTAGCTACCTGGTTATAAATCACACCCATTGCCTGGCCACCCTCACAAACAGGCACTTCACGGTGGTCCCCCCCCCTTTCCAGGCAAAGTGTTAAATTACAGCTAAGGCAGCTGTTCCCTGCGCTGGGTCCCCTGTCAGCGCTTCCCCTTTAAATAAATCTCTCCTGCATCGCTATTCTCACTTATTTCTTTCTTTCTTTTTCGCCCCTGACTCTGCAGCTGCTGTCTGGGGGTGGCGGGGAGAACAAAACTCTCGCTTCCCAAGGAGGGATGCCAAGGGAGGAAGCGAGAGAGATTTATTTGGATGGCAGATTGACTGGCTGGGGAGAGGAGGAGGAGGAGGAGGAGGGTGAGAGGAGGCAGGGTGCTGCTGCTCCTGTCTCTCTGCTAGGAGGTAGGGAGAATATTCTTGCAGCAACACCCCCCAGGAAAAAAGAGACTTAGGCTTTGCTGGACCATAAAGAAGGCTGATCGCCGAAGAATGGATGCTTGTGAATTCTGGTGCTGGAGGAGACTCTTGAGAGTCCCATGGACTGCAAGAAGATCCAACCTCTCCATTCCGAAGGAAATCAGCCCTGAGTGCTCACTGGAAGGACAGATCCTGAAGCTGAGGCTCCAAGACTTTGGCCACCTCAGGAGAAGAGAAGACTCCCTGGAAAAGACCCTGATGTTGGGAAAGATGGAGGGCACAAGGAGAAGGGGACGACAGAGGACGAGATGGTTGGACAGTGTTCTGGAAGCTACCAGCATGAGTTTGACCAAACTGCGGGAGGCAGTGGAAGACAGGAGTGCCTGGCGTGTTCTGGTCCAGGGGGTCACAAAGAGGCGGACACGACTAAATGACTAAACAACAACAACAACAAAACATGGAAATTGGGCAAAAAATGGGGTCGGGGAAGCGGTGAGATGTTCAAGAGTCCTTTGTCCTTCCAGCATCTGATGATGGAGTCCTGGTCTGGGTTTGGGTCATTTCAAGGTTCAGATCGTCTCCAGAAATCCTTTTTAGAGTGCATTCATAAGAACATAGGCTGGCCTCAACCAGAGCCAGGGCTTTTTCGGCCGTGGCCCCAATCTGGTGGAACACTCTGTCCCAAGAGACTAGGGCCCTGCGGGACTTGACATCTTTCCGCAGGGCCTGCAAGACCGAGCTGTTCCACCAGGCCTTTGGCCAGGGCACAGCCTGACCCCCTCCTTTGGTGATCCTCATAGAACTCTAGCCCAATGGTTGCCATGAATTTGATTCTGAATTGATTTTAAAATGAATTGATTTTAGAATGCTGTGTTACTTTTATTGTTGTTAGCTGCTCTGAGCCCGGCTTCGGCTGGGGAGGGCGGGATATAAATAATAATAATAATAATAATAATAATAATAATAATAATAATTATTACTACTACTACTGTTGTTGTTGTTGTTGTTGTTGTTAACATAAGAAGAGCCTTCTGGGTCAGGCCAGTCCAGCATCCTGTTCTCACATTGGCCAACCAAATACAGTGGTGCCCCGCAAGACGAACGCCTCGCAAGACGGAAAACCCGCTAGACGAAAGGGTTTTCCATCGCGGAGGCGCTTCGCAAAACGAATTTCCCTATGGGCTTCCTTCGCAAGACGAAAGCCCATAGGGAAATCTCCGGGACAGCGGGGAATCGCAGCGCCTCTTCCCCACTGTCCTCGGACCTCCTCCCGCCGCCAGGCTTCGGAAGGCTGCTTCGAAGCCTGGCGGGGGGGGGGGCGGAGAGGTTTTTTAAAAACCCCGGGACAGCGGGGGACTTCTCCGCTGTCCGGGGCGATTTTAAAATGCTGCCGGGCGGCAGCGCTGACGCCCGGCAGCATTTAAAAAAACCCGGGACAGCGGGTTTAAAATTGCCCCGGGCGGCGCGTTTCTCCGCTGTCCCGGAGGGCTTTTGAAGGCAGGCGGGGGGAGCAAAGACTTTTGCCCCCCGCCGGCCTTCAGAAGAGGTCCAGGACCTCTTCTGAAGGCTGGTGGGGGGCAAAAGTCTTTGTCCCCCCTGCCTGCCTTCCCGGAGGCTTTTAAATCGCCCCGGGACAGCGGAGAAGAGGGTTTTTTAAAATGCTGGGGGTGGGAAGAAAAGCCCTTCATCCCCCCCCCCAGCCTTCAGAAGAGGTCGATGCATTCAATGCATTCCTGTGGGAAACCGTGCTTCGCAAGACGAAAAACTCGCAAGAAGAAAAAACTTGCGGAACGAATTAATTTCGTCTTGCGAGGCACCACTGTATCCATTATGGAAACCCACAGATCTCCTGCTGTCTCAAGCAAGAAGCACTCAAAAATACTGCTGCCTCCAAATGAGGAGGAAGAGAATGTCCAGTGCTCTTTTAAGAAGAAGAGTTTGGATTTGATATCCCCCTTTATCACTCCCCTAAGGAGTCTCAAGGGGACGCGGGTGGCGCTGTGGTTTAAACCACAGAGCCTAGGACTTGCCAATCAGAAGGTCGGCGGTTCGAATCCCCGCGACGGGGTGAGCTCCCGTTGCTCAGTCCCTGCTCCTGCCAACCTAGCAGTTTGAAAGCACATCAAAGTGCAAGTAGATAAATAGGTACCACTCTGGCGGGAAGGTAAACAGCATTTCCGTGCACTGCTCTGGTTCACCAGAAGTGGCTCAGTCATGCTGGCCACATGACCCGGAAGCTGTACGCCGGCTCCCTTGGCCAGTAAAGCGAGATGAGCAACGCAATCCCAGAGTTGGTCACGACTGGACCTAATGGTCAGGGGTCCCTTTACCTTTAAGGAGTCTCAAAGTGGCTCACAATCTTCTTTTCCTTCTTCCCCACAACAAACACTCTGTGAGGTGAGTGGGGCTGAGAGACTTCAAAGAAGTGTGACTGGCCCAAGGTCACCCAGCAGCTGCATGTGGAGGAGCGGAGACGCGAACCCGGTTCCCCAGATTACGAGTCTACCGCTCTTAACCACTACACCACACTGTCTCTCTTTTAAAGCCAGCCAAGCTGATGGCCATCACTGCCTCCTGTGGGAGGGAGTTCCACAGATTAACCGTGTGCTGCAATGAAGAAGGACTTTCTTTTCCTGTCCTAAATCTCCCAGCCTTCAGCTTCATTGAATGCCCAAGAGTTCTAGTGCAATGAGAGGGGAAGAAAAGCAATCCCCCCCCATCTGCTTTCTGCATAGGCTTCTATCACAGCTCCTGTTCTCTAAACTAGGAAGTCCCCCAGCTGCAATCTTTCATTTTAAGGGCGTCTCTTCAGCCCCAAAAATGCTGGATGGGGGGAATCTGCAGGCAAGGCCACCTCAGAGAACCAGCCCTACAGACCTCTTACAGATTAAGCTTTCGAAGTGTCCTGGAGGCCACCTACTCTAGCAGAAGCATGTTCTGGAAAACCTCCTTGAGCCTTGAGCTTGTCTTACATCTCCACGAACAGGCAGCTCGCCCTCCCCAGCCATGCCCCAAACTAGGCTTTTGCCAAATTATCTCTCATCATTTAAACGCAGAAACAACCTAGTTGCATTTTTACATGTATTTATTTTTTTGTAGAGGGGAATGCATTAATTCATGTTGAGGGACCCCCAGGGCAAGCTGGTGCTTTCACTGGAGGAGTCTCTAGAGCAAGGCAAGGCTGACTCCTTGCGTGGGCTACACTCCGCCATTCCAAATCTCTGTGAATAACACTCGGACCGCGTGTTAACATGATGGATCCAGAGTGCGTCTTCAAGACCTCTGAACACCTTCACCAGCCTAGTGCCCTCCAGGTGTTTCGGTGGAGGCTGGCTGAAGCACGTCTTGTCAGAGAATCTGTTGGAAATTATGGAACAAAAACTGAAATGTGTGGGAAGGCTGTGCTTGCAAGAGAACCATGTAAGCAGGAGGAGCTGTTGGAGGAGGAAGGAGAGAAGGCTGAATGGTTGCCGTTTGCTGAAAGTCTAAATGCAGCTGTGTCTTGTACCCACCGTGGCACTTTCCTCTCTGCCCCAAGCAGGTTCAGTGGCAACAACTGGAAAGGGCTGAAAAAACCTGCTGCAGTTGTCCATTCGCTGGTTAGTTCAAGACTGGATTACTGCAATGCGCTCTGTGTGGGGCTTCCCTTGAACATGACCTGGAGTCTGCAGTCATTGCAGAATGCTGCAGCACAATTGCTGACAGGATGGAAGCCTGCAAGATCTGTACTGGTTGCCAGTTTGCTGCAGGGCCATGTTCAATGTGTTACTATTAGTATATAAAGCCCTTGGGACCAGTTAACAACAACAATAACAACAACAACAACAACAACAACAACAACAACAATAATAATTTATTTAAACCCCGTCCATCTGGCTGGGTTTCCCCAGCCACTCTGGGCAGCTTCCAACAAAAGATTAAAAATACAATAAAACAGATTAAAAATACAATAAAACTATTCCTAAACAGGACTTCCTTCAGATGTCTTCCAAACATCAGATAGTTGTTTATTTCTTTGACATCTGCTGGGAGGGCGTTCCACAGGGCGGGTGCCACCACCGAGAAGGCCCTCTGCCTGGTTCCCTGTAACTTTGCTTTTTGTAGTGAGGGAACCGCCAGAAGGCCCTCGGAGCTGGACCTCAGTTTACCTGTGAGATAGTCTCCCAGTGGCGTAGCGTGGGTTGTCAGCACCCGGGGCAAGGCAAGTAATTTGCGCCCCCTAACCCATGGATTTGCGCCCCCTAACCCGTGGATTTGCACCCCCTAACCTGTGGATTTGCCCTAACCCCAGATGTTGTGCCCGGTGCAGCCGGCCCCCCTGCACCCCCCACGCTACGCCACTGTAGTCTCCCCCTACAAATGCCCACTCGACCGCTTCAATGAAGGGCACCATGTTTTGGGCTTGAGAAATGTGTGTTCTGATTTCTCAGTGCAGGGAACCCTGGCTTCGTGTCAGCATCCGTGCCTGCCACAGTTGACACTTGCCTATGCCTTCTATCAGCTTTGGCTGGTGGCCCAGCTATGCCCCTATCTGGACAGGAATAGCTTAACTGCTGTTGTCTATGCTCTGGTAACATCAAGGTTAGACTACTGCAATGCGTTATATGTAGGGATGCCTCTGAAGACGGTTCGGAAACTTCAGCTGGTGCAGAATTCAGCAGCCAGGTTGCTTTCGGGAGCAAGACGGTTTGAGCATCTTACACTGATCCTGGTCCGACTGCACTGACTACCAATCAGTTTCCGGGCTCAAATGCTGCTTTTGACCTATATAGCCTTAAATGGCTCAGTACCACAATACCTCAAGCACCACCCCTCCCCATATGAACCTACCCTGAGATCATCTTCTGATGCCCTTCCTGGAGAGGTTCGGAGGGTGGCAACACGAGAACAGGGCCTTCTCTGCAGTGGCTCCCCTTCTGTGGAATGCTCTCCCCAGGGAAGTTCACCTGGCGCCTTCATTATACACCTTTAGGTGCTAGGCAAAACATTCCTTTTTAACCAGGCCTTTGGTTGACCTTCCTGACATCCAACACCCTTTTAGAAAGTGGGTTTTTTTTGGGGGGGGGATGTTTTTGGGTTATTGCTTTTGGTTTGACTTTATATGTTGTGGTCTTGTTGTGAACCGCCCTGAGACCTCCGTGCATAGAGTGGTGCATAAGTTGTATGAATGAATAAATAAAAGTTTTCAGGCCCTGATTTGGAAAGGGAGGAATAACATCGCTGGAGGGAGCTTAGAAAGTTGATTCCACGGCGAGGTTCTCCTTGTTGATCTTGACGAGGGTTACCCTTCCTCTTCCCTGTCGTCTCTGAGACAGCCCTTCACTGCAAGACAAATGGATTGCAGAGAATGAGTGATGGCAGCCATTTACCTTCATTATCCGTAGTGATGTGCTCCATTTTTTCCCAGTCAAAAGTGCTTATAAATAGACTTGTTAATTGCAAGGTTTCAACGCACTGATGTGGCACCAAAGGTTTAGAAATAGTTTTCTGCCTCGACTGGCAGAGTTAGATAGGAAGGTCGCCCATCTCTCCCAGAGGAGCCAGAGATGAGACTCACCAGTTCCAGTTTACATGTTTAAATTGGAGATTTCCCCACCCCTCGCATTTGGAATTCTTCAGTTATCCATGGTCCATTGTCCATTCTCCAGAGGCAGCTTAAGCTGGTTTTCAGGGGTGGGGGCAGTGGGATTCCCTAGGGGCAAGGGAGTATAGACCACTTACAAACGCCATCTCCAACTCCTCAAAAGATTCCATCAACGGTGCCTCTGAAACATTTACACATCACTTGGGAAGACAGGCGAACTAATGCCAGTGTCCTGGAAGGAGCAAAGATCACCAGTGTTGAAGCAATGATTCTTCAACATCAACTTTGTTGGACTGGTCATGTTGTGTGGATGCCTGATGATCGTCTTCCAAAGCAACTCCTCTATTATGAACATGAAAAATGGAAAGCATAATGCTGGTGGTCAACAAAAGAGGCTTAAAAACTGTCTCAAGGCAAAGCTAAAGAAATGTAGTATAAACACCGACAATTGGGAAACACTGGCCTGCGAGCGCTCCAGTTGGAGAACAGCCTTGACCAAAGGTGTCCTGGGCTTTGAAGATGCTTGAACTCAGGACGCAAGGGAGAAATGTGCTAAGAGGAAGGCACACTTGGCAAATCCACACCGTGATCAACTCCCACCCGGAAACCAATGTCCCCACTGTGGAAGGACATGTGGATCCAGAATTGGCCTCCTCAGTCACTTACGGACTCATTGTTAAAGCCGTGTTTATGGAAGACGATCTTACTCTGCTACGAGGGATCACCAAAGGAGGAGGAGGAGGTATAGATGCCTACCAGACTTTGAAAAGCTGCCTCTGGTTCATCAGTTTTGTTGACTAAATTAAACTAAATAGTTTCAACTGGAGTTTGGATAAAGGTGCAATTCATTGTTACTGTTATGAATTTTAGGGTGTTATTGTCTTCCTTAGCGGGTTGTGCAGATCGCTATTCTGAACAATTTTTTTTGTAGGGTAGAGGGCCCTGCGGGTGAGTTGTTGGAAGCTGGGGGGGGGGCAGTGGCCCCCAAAAGTACTGCGGATTTAAAACAATGACAACGCATATATAAAAAATCAGGACGAATCCAAGGCAGAAACCAATTGGGATAAAGATTGCATTTCTTTCTTTATTTCATAAAAGTTATATGCTGTTGGAAGTCCAGCAAAAGTCCAAAACATCTGGAGGGCGCCAGGTTGACAGAGGCTGATAGGGATGTGGGCGCAGGGAGCCTGAGATGTCTTGGACTGGAGCGCTGGACTCAATGGCTTTCTCCTTCTCTTGCTCCTCCTAGCAATTTAAGCTAATTCCCTCCCTCTCTCTCCGCTTCTCTCCTCCAGCTCTCTTCAATCTAATCCCTGTGGGTCTTCGCGTGGTGGCGATTCAGGGGGTGAAGGCGGGCCTTTACGTGGCCATGAACGCCGAGGGCTATCTCTACAGCTCAGTAAGTTCACAGCGTGGCTTGGACCTTGTCTCTGGGGCTGGTGGGATCAGACCAGGGTGTTTTTGTTGAGCATTCGTGGGCAGGGCCGGATTGAGGTTTGATGAGGCCCTCAGCTCCTGAAGCTAATGGGGCCCTTTCTATGTCCAGCTGTCCTTGGTCAACAACAAATTGTCACTGTTTTTTTGGTTTGAATATAAGCTATATGGTAATTGATCGACCCAATAGGTATCGAAAGCCATTTCCGCATGTTGCCCTGCAACCAGTCCATGCAGAATGTAGGCACCCTATATATAAAGGGTCCAGTCATGGACGACTCTGGGGTTGCGGTGCTCATCTCGCTTTATTGGCCGAGGGAGCCGGTGTGCAGCTTCTGGGCCATGTGGCCAGCATGACTAAGCCGCTTCTGGCGAACCAGAGCAGCTCACAGAAACATCGTTTACCTTCCCACCGGAGCGGTACCTATTTATCTACTTGCACTTTGATGTGCTTTCGAACTGCTAGGTTGGCAGGAGTAGCGACTGAGCAATGGGAGCTCACCCCGTTGCGGGAATTCGAACCGCCGACCTTCTGACTGGCAAGTCCTAGGCTCTGTGGTTTAACCCACAGCACCACCCACGTCCCCTCATCCTATATACACAAATGAGCAAACCAGTGATATTTTAGGGAGCAGGTGAGCAGGCAGGGCCCATGACTTACATCATAGGAGCCTACAGAAGACAAAACACTGCTGCTGCATGTAGGTTTTAGTTTATTTTATTTTTATCTTATATTTTGGAAATGTACATCCAGTTTTTTTCCTTTAAATTTTTTGGGGGCCTAAGCCATAGCTTGTTTAGATTATATGTAAATCCGGCACTGGGCAGGGCAAAGGCAGACACAACATTTTTGATACAGGAGATTTTTTCGCCTCCTATGGTGTGAACATGGGCTTCACCTGGGCTCTCTGCCTTAAAAAAAAGAAATTAAACAAGCTCATATATGTTAAAGACATACTATATACTGCATCGCATATTTGCTTGGGGTAGGGGGAAGGTGTGTCGGTGATGTTGCAGGTGCTGGCCAGGGCTGCCTTTCCCTGGGTCTTCTTGCTGAAAACACGTAGAGCGGTTTGCAGTGGAGGCCAGTCGGTTAGGACAAAGGTGGCTCTGCCCCACCAACCTTGGCCTCCCCTTGTCATGCCAGCATCTGCCTGCCTTCTTCCTTACAACCAATCTGGGGGGGGGGGGCAGGGGAGTGCTGCCTGTCTGTATCCTCTTCCTTAGTCTCAGTGTTGACCTTGAATAACTCAGTAGGGTTGTCAGCCCCCCAGGTCTGAGCTGGTGTCCCGGTTTGCCTGGTAGATGAAGGGCTTGAATTATGATGGTGGTTATGATTATTACCATGCATAGAGTACCATGCAAGCTTCAGCCCAACAGGAGCTGGCTGCAAATTCCAACAAAGACACTCCTCTCTCCCAATTAACCTCCTTCTCCAGATTAAATTATAGCATACACACTTGGGGTGTGGGTACGTTTGCTGTCCTCTGCTTTGCTGTCCCATTTAACCTCCACCCCTGTGACCTTATCACCGCCCACTCCCATGACATCATCAGGGGCTCCCCCTAGTTCTCAGATCTTGGGGTCTGTTTCGTTCTTGACCTGGTAACCGAAAAACATTGGAATTATTGGGCTCTGTCCGCATGGGCACCAAGCTCTGCTGAGTGTTTTCCCCCAGCTGCCCCTGGCAGAGAAGAAGGTGACACTTTTCCGCCTGACCTAAGCACAAAAGGGAAGGCAGAGGCAATGTTGTATATGAGATAAAGAGCTGAGAGTTGAGCAAAAGGTCCCACCAGCCTTATGTCACAGCTCCAGGGGAACCCTGTCAGAAGCCGCCTGGCAGTTGCCCAGACCTCGTTCCCTGGGCTTGAACCCCAAGGCCTGGCCCGACTCTGGCAGAAGATGATGTCTCAGTGACAGATCATGGTCCCGGGATGCATTTGTGGCTGGGCCGTATTCTGTATGCAGAGGAGCCACCTTGAATTAGCATATAGATTGATTATAATCCAGAGGAGTTCTGTACAGGGATCAGAACAATCGGAGCTGGCCCTTTCCAGGAAGCAATAGGAAGTGGGCACCTCAGGTGGGAGTTCTGCAAGTGCCGCTCAGTGTGGGAGACGGGCTTGGAGCAGGAAGGGTCCCCCCTTCAGTTCAGTAGTGTGAGCACAGAAAAAGCAAAATCCCCAGTGAAAGGAGATCTGTTTTTAATGAGTGCCAAGGGGGTGTTTGTCTACTCTTTCATCTCGCTCTGCCCCGCACTGAAAGCGACTTGTGAACATTTATTGTGCAAACCAGTGGATTCCAAAGTGGGTGGGATTCTTAGTGGGGTGCTAAGAGGCAGCAGGGAGTCGCTGGGGGTGCAAATAATTCTCAGGCTTTGAAAAGCTGGCATCACCAGGCCAGACCACGTTCACCAGCCCTTGGTTTAATAGTTTAACTGGCTTTGAATAAACGTGTAATTAACTGTTCCTGTTCTGAATTCTTTGTGTTCTGTTCTTTAGTGGGCCATGCAGACCACTGTTCTGAATGATGCTTTTTATAGGGTAGTGGGCACTGGGGGGGATGAGTTGATGGAACCAAGGGGGGGGACCACTTGGTATAAATCTTATTTTTGCAGCGTATGATGCATCCAGCATGGGGTTCTCTGTGCCTGGATGGACTGGTGGAAGAAGGCTTTGTCTTGTGCCAAAATCTACCCAGATCCGATGCTCAATGTGGGGAAGGTGGTGGGATGGCAAGGGGCAGCCATTGCAAGGTGGGAAATTGGAGCGAGGAGAGGCTTTAAATCTTCCTATTTGACGGATTCCAGCGCAATTGCTTTTTAAAATGGCGTGGAAGGGCAGAGAGAGGTTAACTGCCAGGGGACTCATTTAAAATAAATAATTGATCCTTGCTGATTTATTAAATAGGACCGGTAGTTTGCCAGCGGTGTGTTCATGCTTGACTTTATTCCGCTTGACTGCTGCCTCATTAAAAGCTGTCATTAAGGTGTGCCTTTCGTCCCGTCCTGCATATGAGGCGCAAAATGCAGCTGGGAAAGATCCTGGCTCCATCGTTTTGCATTGTGGGGCATCCATCACCATACATGGGCACAGTCCCCTGGCATACACTTAACTGCCCATCCTGCTGGATGTAAGCCTTATACAAAGAAAGGCCTTAGGGTGCCCACCCATGTCTTAAATCTTCTCTGATGCACATCAGAAGTGGACCATCATGTCCAACATCCTGTTCCCACAGTGGCCAACCAGATGCCTCTTTTGGGAAATCACCAAGCAGGATTTGAGCAGCAGAACCATCTTCTTTCCTGTGGTATCCAGCTGCTGGTATTCAGGGGCACTGCTTACTCCCACTGGGGAGGGCAGAACAGAGCCATCCTGGCCGGGAGCCACTGATCGTTCTCTCTACCCCCTCCATGAATTTGTCCAATTGTCTATGAAAACCACCCAACATGGTGGACCTCACTGCCTCTTGTAGGAGCTAGTTTCATAACTTAGTTATGTGCTGAGTGAAGGATGTTCTCCTCTCCAGATGAAACATATGTGGCTCTTTCAACCCCTCCCTGTGGTTTTCAGACCCCCTCCTTGTCCTAACTGCCTTCCCCTGTTCATCCTCCAGTTTCTCCTTACTACAGAGTGTGGAGATCACGCAGGGCCCCGGACGTTTACCGGTCTACTGATCCCTGTGCCACCACTGTGCTCACTTCCCCGCTGCCACCAACCAGTTACTCTTGGGTAAAACACTGAGTCCAGTCAGTTGTTAAAAGTGAACAAACAAAAAAAGTTTATTTTACAAAAATTAACAAGTTTATGGTGCTGGAGGAGACTCTTGAGAGTCCCATGGAGTGCAAGAAGATCAGACCTCTCCATTCTGAAGGAAATCAGCCCAGAGTGCTCACTGGAAGGACAGATCCTGAAGCTGAGGCTCCAAGACTTTGGCCACCTCATGAGAAGAGAAGACTCCCTGGAAAAGACCCTGATGTTGGGAAAGATGGAGGGCACAAGGAGAAGGGGACGACAGAGGACGAGATGGTGGGACAGTGTTCTCGAAGCTACCAGCATGAGTTTGACCAAACTGCGGGAGGCAGTGGAAGACAGGAGTGCCTGGCGTGCTCTGGTCCAGGGGGTCAAGAAGAGTCGGACACGACTAAACAACAATATGGTGTCTCAGATAATATTCCTGTCAGTATCTTAACTTTAGTTTCTTTACCAGCCTATACCTTCCTAATACTTTCTGACTGATTATCTCAACTGTTTGACTGCCTCCTCTTAACAAATTCTCTCCCTCTCTCACACCAGACTAGCCCAATCCACAGACTTATCTTCTTGGTCTCTTCTAACTCCAGACTGTCTCCTCAACAACCCTAACTCTAACTCTCTAAAAACCTGTGTGCTTAAACTTATACACCGTTAACTCTGCCCCTGGGTTCCCATTAGTCATTTTACAATTAGTAAGCCCTTTCCCTATGAACCCAGTATGATGTCACACACATAGGAGAGCAAATGCCACACAGAGGTTTTCAAGTTTAGGGGGTTCACGGCTCCCTTGACCAACTACCTTCTTTCTGCGGCACCCCTGTGGGGTGCAGGAGCCCAGTTAGGTCACCCCTTGCCAGCAGACCTGGCAGCCCCTCACCCTTTTCGAACACCCTCCCTTGTGGAGAGTTCCTTCAGCCTCCTCTCCCCTCCTTGGCAGTCCTCTGGGCAGCTGCTGCTGCCACCTCTGGTCTCTGAGGTGCCCCACAGAGAGGTGCCTCCTCACGCTGCCCCACAGGGGCCTGGGAAGCACCCCACGGCCAGCCCCAGAGACATCCTTCACCTGTGGAGCTTGTAGCCATGGCTGCGGCAACAAACAGCTGTGCAAGCCTTTGGGAGGCAGAGATGTGAGAGGGCATCAGAGGAGGGGGGGGAGCAAAGAGGGCCCACCAGCCAAGGCACCCCAGGGTGCCACGGCACACTGGTTGGAAAC